GGGTATAAGTAAACCAGTTCTTGAGGAAGAGGCCAAATGAGACTTCAGATCTGGATCAGAGAGATTAAAATGAGGAATTTAAAGCAGGACCACTAAAGTGCTATCTGGTGCAGCTAAGAAATATTTAATAGTCTCATACAGAACACATGCACTCTACGTTACAAAACTTCTTCACCAACAGGCCAGGAAAGCATTTGTCATAAATTAATAAATTATTTGGGTGTATGTAATGCAGCCCAGGAACAGCAGTTTAGATTAGATGATAATCCTGAGGTCTCTTTCCAAAATGTTGTTCTATATGAGCTATATATTATTTCATCTTAATTCTCTTAGAACAATATTCAGAAATAAAGAAAAACTGTCTGCCTTCTGCAATTGTAAACCTTGCCTAGTAAGTATTCTTTTGTACAATGGGCACAAATGCAGAAGCAGAAGGAAATTTCCAGTTTCCAGGTAAAATCTCCAGTTTTTCAGTTTGAAAAGGCATTCCTAGAAATTCCAAGTAATTGCAGTAACATTCGTTAGAGGCTGATATCAAAACAACATTTCAACTGGCTAAACTGATCTTTATCTCCAATTGGCAAAAAGTTTCCAAGCACTAATCTTTGCTATTCCATTTATCTGGCATAGAACAGACAGCATTTACTCTGTGACGTGGCTTTTCAGGAATCTCTGGAAATGGGTTTGACAGTCTTAGTCTAAAATTAAGCAATCCCTAAGAGCTGACAGTGACTATTGTGACAGGGAAGAGTCTTAGTGGAGAACAAAGATGGTAAGTGAGTGGGGCAAAGGAAGCTGTCTCAGCGATCTCCTGCCTTGCTGCCACAGCGAGGAGACACATTGCTGCATGCTGCCACTGCCCACAGCTGGCACATTAGTATCAACCGAGCTATGAGTGTGCCCAGGCAGGATTTGGGGAGAAAAGCACTTAACATTTGCCTTTCGGAGGCCTTCTGCTCAAGAGAAGGGTTTGTGGTAACAAGCATTTGCTCTAAGGAAGGCTGAGTTAAAAAAAACCACAAAGCCTAACAGACACATACAAAAGAAAAGGAAAAAAAAAAGTAATATTTAATAATTGAACAAAACATTGAATGTTTAAAGACTGAAATGGTTTTTTTGTGGTCATTCACGTCATACTAATGTGGCATCAAAACTTGTGCACAGTCCCTGGGCTGGTCCCTGCTTCCTGCACTGCCTCAAACACTGTCACTTTTGCTTTAGGTAAGATGGGCTTCTCCAGTAAGGGGTGGTAAGTGCCAGCTAGGAACATAAACTTCTTACAGATATTTCTACATATTTCATAGACTATTGTTGAGGGCAGGGGGTGTGCTTCTCACAGAAGATTGCCATGTTAAGCTGAGCTGAGCAAAATAAACACCATGTTCTTATGCGATCACGAAATGATGAACAGAGATGAAGAAAACAGGAAATACACAATGGAAGAGAATTGAAAAGTTTAAAAAAAAGAAACAAGTAAAAAGAAAGGAGCTACTACTTGGAGGAAAATCGCTGATTGCGTCTGGGTCACCTTGCACATTAAGCGAGCTCTGTGCAGCTCTGCTAAACCTTGTGTCATTCAGCTGTGAGATCTACCTGAATGCCACTGTCCACAGAAACCCGTGCAGCTCTGAAAGGAAAAGACTTTTCGGATGAAAGGACCGTGTCTGCTCTTCCAATAGCGCTGACAGTCATCTTCATGGGGTGTCACTATGGTTGCTGACAGCCTGCTCTGCTGCTCCTTCAGATGCTTTGCCCCTTTTCTCAAGCTAAGAAGTGATACACTCAGTGAGGAAGCGGAAAAAGGTGGTAAGAGGAAAGTTAACGTGATGACATAACCCATTAATAAAGTCAAACACTTCTCTGCTCTCTCCTTCTCAGGACTTTTCCATGGCCCAAGCCACCACTGGAACAGCTCAGTATGGTGGGATTACTCCTGTGTGTGCATTTTTGCCAAACTCCATCCAAAAGTCACTTTCCTCTAGTACCACAAGGCATGTTTTCATGTACTAGAAAAATATACCTAACGCTTTATGTAAGCAAGTCTAGTGCCCTCCTGAACATAAATGTCAGTTACACACTCTTAGATTTAGTAAAGCCCCTGAGCTGAATGTCTGGTTGGACTACTGAGCACAAATACACATGGTTGTAACCCATGTGTGCCTTTTGCTTGTTTTTGCAGAAAATCACAGGATGTCTGATGCTTTTGTCACATTTCACCAACTGATTTGTATTAGCAACCTTTGTAAAACTCCAGCTATATTTCATGCAAAGCTTATGTAAGTCCCCTAGGATCAATTACCTCACTCAGAGTCAAATTTATTTAGCAATTAGGAAAAATTAGACAGTAGCTGGTGAGTTTGCTGTTTTGAAACGAAAGGCCAGAGTCCCAAGGTCTTTTCTCAGGCTAAATGCTAGTTTTAGAAATTCATTATTTGAAAGTCTCTAAACAAGTACTTTACATTGCAATCTTTCTTGCATCATTTAGCCTCCAAATAACTTCCCTGTTCAAACCGTGAGCATACTAATGAAAAAAACAACCAACCAGGAATATAAATTGTTTACATGATAGTTTTCAGAATCAACTTCTCTTTCTCAGCCTGAATTCGTCAAACTGGTAACACTGGTCTCAGGAAATGCGCTGTGACACTGTGTAAAATGTTGTGACACCTTTGGGGAATCACCAGTAAACACCATCAAGGAGAAACCTTGTCCTATGCAGAAATCCAACACCAGAATCACGTACTCTCTACAAAATAAGGGGGACTTTGAAATACAACGTAACAGAGCATAATCATGTGATAAAATGGATGTCATACATGGGCTGTGGGGAAGGATCTCTCAGTCTCTGAAAGCCTCCCAGCGCCCTGTTCCCACGAAGAGGAGACCTGTAGGCTGCAAAGCCCCTGGGCTGGGCAGTGCTGGGTCAATGAAAATCCCAGCTGTGCACCGACAGACAGCTGCCCGGGCCATACCTCAGCCTGGCCGCCCCAGGGAGCTGCTCCTTCAGCACATTTACACCAGAAGTCACAAGGGACTATGGTTTTTGAAGGCAGCCTTTGGGACTTCTTACACAGCGTCTGCAGCTGGGAAATCCTCCTGTGTATAGTCCATGGCTTTAGAGTCCTTCCACTACCATCCCAGCCCTTGCTGTAGCAGGGCAGGTTACCAGGCCAGTTATTGAGGCCCTAGACCCAGCTTTTAGCTTTCACTCTGCCCATTTGGCTTAAGGGCAGCTCTCAGGACCAGTGGTTTCACTGTCTATTGAACAGCTTCTACTCAACTACTACAAAGCACTGCCTTGCACAGCACACGCAAATCACATCATTTCACAATATTACTAGTATTTTGTGAGGAACAGCTTGACACATATAGCACAATTACTTGGAGCACGGTGGATGAACAACTGCTGGACAGAAGCTACATACCAAGCATGAAGTGCAGATCTGGAGGCGCTGTAGTTACCAGGGCTCTAATGCCAACTTGCCTTGGCAATGGGGATAGACTGTTCTGCAGCAGCTGAGGTTTTGGCCTAAAGGAATATAAATATTTGGATATCATGTTGCTTGAATAACTCACTAGATATAAGAAAGATAACAATGTCAGACAGCCGAACAAAGTCTTAAAGAGATCATGCATGTTCCTAATGTAAAGCTTGCAAGAGCTCCCTTTGGTGGACTAACTTTTCTTAAGGGACATTTAAGGTTTATGTGACCTATTTTATGGATCTTTTAGATGTGATTCTGATGTACACTGTAAGTTCCCTTTGCCTCTCCCTATACTTACTATATTTACATTTTTTGTGACAGAATTCAACAAGTGGATTGCATCTGATTTCCTCATTGTTCATTTGGTTGCATATTAAAAATCCCTTAATGGCTTTTCACCTATTACACTGAAGCCAAGCAAAGTATTTGCTGTGAAATTCTCAGTGCTGTCTGATGGCTCCAGACAGTGAGGAGACTCTGGCCTTCCACAAGTTTTCTGGAAGAAATGTCACATTAGTGGTTCTTTTACCCCAGACATATTGCACATTAACAGATTTCTTTCCTTATCTCCTTCTTCCAGAGATAAGTGCCCACTAGCTCATGAAAGCCAAGTCTTGTGAATGTGCATTGTAGGCCACGTATTTTAGGTTTTCTGCAAATTTTCTACACTCTTCATGACCTTCTACAGCCTCCTACGGTCTCATCCACTGGTGACTACATAATGTGTCCCAACTACGCATCTTGGAAAATGTCAGCTAATGTGAATAAGACTGGAGGTGCAGAAGAGGACAGGGGATCTGCTGTGCATTTCCTTTCCTTCTGGAGAATTGGGAAGCAAGAGAACTGCTCCCTGGGGTGCGAGTGCTTCAGAGCAACAAGGAGGCAGCATTAGCAAAGGACACCAAGTCCTTAAGGATTCACTGCCACTTTTCCACTCTGACTAACTCCCTGAGAGGGCAAGGAAAGCTGTCAGGGGTCCTCTGATTTACAGCTATTCAATGTTTGACCTTCCTTCTGCAGGAGCTGCCACAGCGTCAACCCTAAAGACAATAGCCAGGGAGAGATACACAGAGAAAGGTCCCTGGGAAAGTAGTTCACCCTCCTTTCTCCCTCTCCTCTCCACTGGGAGGTTTGTATTTTGCTTCTGTGTCACATCAGGTGTAGGTAGCTGCTGCCCAGCACAGATGAAACTCAAAGAGCAAGTGAAGACCGGGGTTTTACACCTTCCATCGTCAGACTTGGTAACAAAGCCACTCCACTGATTCGATGCATTCAGGGGGTTTAAAGCAGGAAAAAAAAAAAAAAAGGGCTGTGCTCTATTGTCTCCGTATTGCACTGCCTCTTTAAAATCAGAAATGCATGGACAGCTTCAAGGTGCCTCCCACTGAGAAAAGGCTTTAGATGCATGCAGAGAGACAGCGGAGCCATCCTCCCCTGAGCTGCAGGGCAAACCTGCTTGGGAGAGAAATGATCGTTCAGCAGAGTCCTCTGGCTGCTTTCAGTGATGGTTTCTCTGCTCCTGTGACAGCAGCACATTTGCAGGGGAGAAACCTGGAGGCTATCCCCAGGATGCCTGAGACCTCCAAGAAGATGAGAGCAACTGCAGGTACAGTTAGCTGATGGTGTTATGTCCGTTTGTGGATAGTTGGGTTGTCTTTATTTATTTTAAAGCACGCTCTCGGTAGTTTACAGGGAAACCTGTCTGAAACAGATACTGCACCTTGCTTTGACCAACATATAGATTTTGCATCTGAGTATTTATTTAGTACTTCTCTTAAATGAATGTTCACATTTGCAGGCAGCTGTGGGGATGTCTTGTAAAGCAGTCAATTGTTTGAACTGTTACTTAGTTTCAGGCTTTGGCTTTCTGTTATTCTGCCGTTCTGCAACTCTCAGTTTGAAAAGCAACGTGAAGACAGAAGTTGTACAAGAGAGTTTCTCTTAGAAATTTATTAAGTGGTGGTACATCAGGGGCTGAGGGTTCTTCCAGGGAAAGAAGGGGGCAACAGCTCCACTATGCAGATTGTCCTTTGTAGCCATGATGGACGTTGTTCAATAGCATTTGACACCCTGAAGACCGACTGCCTCAATGCAGAAAAAGTGGCAATGCCCCGATTCTCTTCTGGGGTAGGGTGGGACTGTCCTGACAGCTGGGAGTCTGGTGTGAGGATTCCCAGATGTGGCATGGGAAGATGCAAGAAGACAGCCCTCTCAGCATTTTGATACAGAGTAGAGGCAAAATTGGGGAGTAGATTAGATTTTTTTCCTCAGTGTGGAAAACAAATAAATTTTTAACATTTGGTACAAACGGCAGTACAAAGAGGGGAGCCTGTGGCTCCCCGCCTTCAAAAATTCAAGGTACTTCGTCTTGCTTAAGGAAGATTTTCCCTTTCACCTCAAGAGCCTGTTTGTGGACAGCAAACTCTCCCTGCGACCGGCAGATTTGCCTTCACAGCCAAGCCTTACAAGCTGGTTCATGGGACAAAATCTTGTCTATGCAAATTGGCAGAGCTCCACTGGTTTGAGAGAAGCAATAATGGATTATGCTGGCTGAAAATTTGGTCCCCCTACCCAATTGATGGCTGCCAAAAAGGAAAGTGCTGGCTTCGCTATTTTCTTGGGTCTTGGCAACTCTTACTTAATTAAGAAACGTATTTAGAAGCCAGGACATCAGTTCTCCTTTCATTCTCACCTACCACATCGTTCTTAAGACATTTAGCATAAAGCAAAAACTTTGTCCGAAAGGCACATCAGATACTTTTCAGCAAATTGAGGTGTCATCTCATTTTAGTTTTTTTTTACCTTGCACAGGGATGACAGCACTGTGGGCTTGAAGGCTGGCAGAGGTTTAAACTGGATTTTACACTCCTATATTGTCACTTCACTGTATGCTGAAAACAAAATTTCATTGTTGGTAAATAAAACTTCTGGGTTTAACGACTGAAGGGATTTTAGGATAACAGAAGCATCCTTTCACAGGGTATTTCTTCCCACTGTGCAGAGCCAGCAATATTGCTGTGGGGCAATAAGGTGGTTATTGCTTTCCCTCAAGCACAGTATTTTTGCTAATTTCCTCTCAGGAAATGTTTTCCTCTTTTTGTTCCCACAGAAGGAGATAAATGAGGCTGTTGCTCTATAATCTCATGGGGACAAAGACAAGATGACTCACTGGTCAGAAGGAAACTTTGGATGAGGTCTCTCGCCTGCTGCCGTGCCCAGCCACCCTGGGTAATTCTAACACGAAACCAAGGGCCAGCCAAGCCACATGTGTCAAAAGAAGACAGACATGGCCATGGAGCAAGCTGAACATAACCCAAATGCTACCGTCAACCTCAACTTTGCTGCAATCTACAATCTCCATGATGGGGATTTAACCTCCTTGAGAAACTTCTCCTTCCCTTTCAATTTCAGTTACAGTGATTACGACCTGCCACTGGACAGTGAAGACGACATGACCAAAACCCGCACCTTCTTTGCAGCCAAGATTGTGATCGGGGTGGCTCTGGTTGGCATCATGCTGGTCTGTGGCATTGGCAACTTCATCTTCATTGCTGCTCTCGCCCGCTACAAGAAGCTGCGAAACCTCACCAACCTGCTGATTGCCAACCTGGCCATCTCAGACTTCATTGTGGCCATCGTGTGCTGCCCCTTTGAGATGGACTACTACGTGGTGCGGCAGCTGTCCTGGGAACATGGCCACGTCCTCTGTGCCTCAGTCAACTACCTACGGACTGTCTCCCTCTATGTTTCTACCAATGCTCTCCTGGCTATAGCTGTTGACAGGTAAGTGGGGTGCTATGACTGCACAAGGAGATGGCCAGAGCTTCTGAGGTTGGCTGTCCAGATTTCTAGGTTTTTAACATGTTCAGCTGTTCTGCAGGATTTGCTGATGTTCAGGTAGGTACTATGCAGACCTGGGTATCTTGTTTCATAACAATTTAATCACATGAGGTCATAACATTACCCAAGAGAGAACTCAGTGGAAATTTCTTGATTGAACTTTTCAGGTGAAAAGAATGTTGATTTATTAAAACGATTTTTTTTCTCATAAAAATATACTTGATTCAAGTGTAGGAGAGGATTTATGAAATAAGGAAAAGAGGAGAAAGAGACAAATCGGAAACCCCCAGAGATGAGGGTGTTCAACAGCACTATATAATCCTGATCCAAACCATACATCTAAGGAACCTTCACTACTGGCCTAAACAGCTTTTCTGAGTCTAACCTTTTCTATAAACAGTGACGTAAATACTCTGCAGCAAGAGAAATAGTTAACTGGTGATACAGAATTTGACAGGTGGGTTTCCAACAGGGTTATTGCCTTACAGGGTATTTCTTTCTCCCTCTAAGGTATTTTTCCCAGTTTTTGTTTTGGTGTGAAAGAGAGTAAAAGATAAGACTTCTGTCTAGCCTGCAAAATAGAGTTCTTATTCTCCGTCATGCCGTACTGAGAAAACCCAACAACCATTAAACTGACCATTCGATAGTTCTGAGGTCTTAGCTGGATGCTCCAACCCAGAAGTGGATGCTTGGGGAGTGTGGCCAGCACTCTCCTCTCCATTAAAATACTCTCCTCTCAATACTTTCCTCTCCCTTTACACGCCTCTCTGAGGATGGCACAGTGGCAAGCCAGGAAAGACCCACAGGTCATTTATGGCACCCATATTTATGGCACTGTCCAGAAAATGATAAAATGCTATACCAACCCAGTTTAGCAGAGATTTTCCTACAGCCTTCATAATGGGGTAAGCAGAACATAACGATAATCCACCTGCTATACTACCTGCTTTATGCTGCAGTCTTGAGATATTTCTACACCTGCCTCTCACTCCAGGTATTTTAACAATATAATTTAATTGTATTCTTTCTTATGACTCCTGTTCTCTTAGCCTCGTGCACCACGGACTCTGACGGACCCAGGCGCTGAGGATTAGCTTCATGCTGACATAAGTCTGACTTGACTGACTCACAGAAAGCCAGAGACCAGCAGAGTAAACCCTTTACAGAAAGGCCATCACAACAAGTCATCTTTTGTGTACAAACACAATATACATCTCTGTATACCCTCTGCATATACATACTGTATGATCCCCACCCCCCTTCCCTTTTTTTTCCAATTCCTCTCGTGTGCCATTTTATGCTCTAGTTTAACGTTGCATAGTTTTTGGTACCTGATCCAAAAGACAGCCCAGGAGCAGTTAACCCTGCTGATGGTTGTATAGATACAGCTTGTGCACGGCTGATTCAGCTGTTACTGACGTCAACAGAAGTCTGTGGAAAGAGTCTGGAGAAGTTCAGAGACGGTTTGCCTGGTGTGGGGGAAAGGACAATCAGCTCCTATGAAACAAATCCTTAACAAGTGTCTAACAAAATAACCTTTGAACAGCAGCTGAGGACTCAGAGTTAAGCTTCTAAATGCTATCATGCATGCACTACCATTTTCTATTACTTATCTTTTTCAACTTCTAAAAAATTTTCTTGGAAAGCTCTGCTAGTGCATCCCAGGTTGATGAAGTAACATGGGTCATTGAGCCCTTATGCCTGCTAAGAAATCAGAAGATTTCTAGCATATCTCCCCACGCATCTTTAAAAACAATCCTGGAAATGATTAATCACTGAAGTTTGTTGTAAGAACACACTGTTTTGGTTTCACTGCCTTTTTTTTGGTGAGCTTTTGACTTGGTAAACAGAGAGAAACCTCATTCATTTAACAATCAACCATTCCATGTTGGTTAGGTCATGTGGATTGTTGTCGGTCTCTAAAAAGAATTGGGTCCTAACAAAAGTCTTCCCACATTTAGATCATTTAAAAGGGCTCACCTGTGTAGAGGGTAAGCCTGACCCACAGGATTTCCCTTGCGTAGGACTCTCTTTCATCTTCCTTGATGTCTATTCATATAAATTGGAGGAAATTCACATATTTAAGGCCACACCTACACTAGAAAATAATGCAATGTGAAAGAAGAGGATCTGAAGAGCAAGAGTTCGTGCTAAGGGTCCAACGTCCATGCTGTAAATATTGTGGGGGGTTTAACTTTAGCTGGGTCTCCCAGACTGAACACCCATGGGCACTTGGTGTGTTTTATGTACACTTTTGGAGCACATCGTCCAGGGCAGTTTCATCTGAACTCAGTTCATGTGCTCCAGGACCACTCCGCAGTAACAGCCCCAGTGCGGTAAGCAATGACAATCAGGAAATCCGCCACAAAAGCTCCCTCTTGTAGATATTTACTCCATCCAGCCAAATGTTCTGCTGAGCGGATATGCATACTTATGAACGCATACACATACATTATCCCACAACCTTGTTTCCACAGGACCCAACCTAAAAATAATAATTTATCAGCTCTACAATGAGGCTGAGTAACTCTGCTGTCCCTTGACATCTACCCTGCACTATTAAGAGCGATGAACAATTCATCTGCTTCCAAGATCTGGCTGATGAAAAGCACCACTGACTTTCTATTTTATTTTAGAATTAATATATCCTGTGGATGCTATCTATGTATAGAATATATACAGATAGAAAAGCCTCTGAATGAATGAGAAATTCCACTTTTTGAAACAATCCTTTGTGTTAAATACAATTGTACTGGGAGCTCTGGATTGTCTCTGATAAAAATCTCCTTTTAGCAGAAATACCCTAATCTTTCTGGGACAGTGTACTCTAACGTAAGCTCTTCTTACATGTATAGCTTCTTAAAAAATCAACCCCCCTGAACTCCAATCAAACAAAAAACCCCAGAGTGAATGCCATTTGGTCCTAGCCCCTTTTTAACTGAATTGAGAGCAATTGATGGATCTTGCAAGTAATGTACTTCCATTTCTCCACACTTCTTTGTGAAACACTGCAGTACACCTTGCAGCTTTACAGTCGTAAGGAGTGCAAATACCTAACTCAAGTTTTATGGTTTGGCATATTATTTAACACAGCAAATTTAAGATTAATTAGCAATAGTCACCTCCATCAGACTAAACAAAAATTTGCATGGGCAGAAAATGGATACACAGTCCTTTGGTGGTGGCTTGGAAACATGCTCACCTGTGACCATTCATTAGCATCAGCTTCAGCTCTTTGCACCCCATGGAACAATCAAGAAAATAATAAAAACAGTATATTTGACTTCTTAGTAAAAAAAAGCGTATTTAAATAGTTCTCTGCCTAGGGAAAACATTTTCATGTTTATACAAGTTTGTCTTTTCACCTGCACCTGACTAGGTGTATATTACTGCATGTTTCAAACCCTCACTTGAACATGTGCTGTCCACCAAAGAATTTCCAGATGCTATATCATGGCACGTCCTGGATACAACATCATCTGCATATTGTGCTAGGTCCTGCAAACATATTTGTCAGTAATAGGAACATTCCCTCTCTTTCTCCTCTTCCAGTCCTTCCATAACTCCCAAACATGTGATCTGTGTTAAGAAGTCTGTGATACAAAATTATAACTTTTTCATTTTGATCTTGTTAACAGGTGGGAGTTTAAGACTGAGGTCTTAAAACCATCCTCAGACACCCTAATGTACGCTCAGAGTTTCAGATTGCCAAGTACCCACTGTCCTAACAAACACTTCAGCCACTCGCTCCAGAGCTTCTGCCTAGATTTAGGAACTTGGCTCTAGGCTGCTACTTCAGAAAATTTTCTTAACTCTCCTCACAGACAAATTTGTCAGGCTCTCTCCTTAAGAATGAGAGCAATTTCCTTCTGCCTAATTCTGTCCACTTGTATTTTGAAGTGTGTTCTGACTAATAGGGTTTTCAGACTTTATTTTGAATGTATTTGTCTGTTCTAGGTATCTGGCCATTGTTCACCCACTGAAACCACGCATGAATTATCAAACTGCAACCTTCCTAATTGCCTTGGTGTGGATCGTCTCCATACTTGTAGCTATCCCATCTGCGTATTTTGCTACTGAAACAGTGTTATTTATAGTGAAAAACCAGGAGAAAATTTTCTGTGGTCAAATTTGGCCAGTTGACCAGCAGATGTACTACAAATCATACTTCCTCTTCATCTTTGGCATTGAATTTGTTGCACCTGTGATTACGATGACCTTGTGTTATGCCAGGATCTCTCGGGAGCTTTGGTTTAAAACCGTACCAGGATTTCAGACCGAACAGATCAGAAAGAGGCTTCGATGCAGAAGAAAAACCGTTATGGTACTGATGTGCATCCTGACTGCCTATGTTCTCTGCTGGGCACCTTTCTATGGCTTCACAATTGTCCGTGACTTTTTCCCCACCATCTTTGTGAAAGAGAAGCATTATCTTACTGCTTTTTACATAGTTGAATGCATTGCTATGAGTAACAGCATGATAAACACCATGTGTTTTGTAACTGTAAAAAATAACACCATGAAGTATTTCAAGAAGATCATGTTGCTCAGATGGAGATCAACATATAATGGAAGCAAATCTAGCACAGATTTAGACCTAAGAACAAGTGCAATGCCGGTCACAGAGGAGGTAGACTGCATAAAACTGAAATAAATTTTCTGCAGTTCTAATGTCACATATTTTGGAGCGGGGGTAAAGAGGAAATAATGCCTCCTCAGAAGCTTCTCCCTTGTCTGTGGGGATACCCACCATTGGTAAAAGTCCTTGAAAAGCAGCCAACTATGCATTTCCATGAGAACTCTTTTCACTGGACTGCTGTATAATCCCATAACTCTGACTGATGCTGTGCTTCAGTTCACCCATTTGTAAATTTGGGATGTAGACACTCATTTTAGTTGTTTAAAATTTAAGGTGAACAAAAAAAGTCTATGAATGCATTAAAGCATATTACAATGATGGAAGAGTTGATTGCTGATCCTAGCAAAGATGCCTCTGTTTCTTCTTAAGAGAAATCTCTTAGCCCCTTTGAGCTTATCATTTGTACCTTTAAGCTATTTGGTGTCCTTTTCCTTCTGCTCACAAGAGGAAGGATGGCAAAAAAGCCCATTTTGCTTCCTGTCACTCTTTATCCTCTCAGTTTACCCCTCATGATGAAGCTCCTTGAAGTCTACAGACCACCAGCTTTCTATTATCCAATGTGCAGCATGCTCTTATGAAAGGCACGTTCTCTACAAAGCTAAATACCGCTTCACAGTCTAGTGAAAACCTCAAGTCTCTTCCTGTGGCACCTTGTTTAAGAATATTTTATCAACATTCGACTCTGTAGTTTTATGTAGAGCGTTACTCTGTTTATTATGTATTTGGAAATGCCATAGCTGCATATTGAAGGGACCTGTTCCCTTCTCTCACCTCCAGGCACCCTACGGCCAGCTTCTGCTGCCTTGAGTCACTGAGCTCTTCACAGAATCAATCACAAAATTGTGGAGGTGGGCAACAACATCTCTGGATTGTCTAGTCCATCCCTCTGCTCAAGCAGGGTCAGCTAGAACAGTTTGCCCAGGATTTTGCCCAGCTGGGCTTTGACTGACTCGGGATGGGGACTCCACAGCGTCCCTGGACCACCTGTGCCAGTGTTCAACAGCCCTTGCAGTAAAAAAGTATTTTCTTCTGTTCAGACAGAATTTCATGTGTTTCAACTTGTTTTTCAGTGGGACCCATATAAAAGAATAGCATGTTAGTGGGAAAAAATTCACCCTGCTGAAGCAGGCCTGAACATCTTATCAAGTCTGTGTACACCTTCTAAATAAAGTACAAGTAGGGCCAAAATAGCACAGAGATCTTGAGGCAATCTGTCCTTCTGCAAGCAACGGAGACAGACTCTAGGCTTCAGCAAGCCCATCACTAGTTGAGTTGAGTAGCTCATTGTCTGGTCAAACATGAGGCAACAACTCAAGATGAATTCTGCACTGCCTCCCCCAGTGCTGTTTTTACTATTCTGACTTTGTGCAACTCCAGGATGGATGTTTCTTAACTGATAATCGTGATGAAGCAAGTGACAGTAGCAGTAATACCTACTCATTTAAACTACACATAAGATAGCATGGACTTCTGTGTATTGAAATCAAGTCTTTTCTATCATGATGACAAACGCTTCCTGTTTTAAAGTATGTGGTACCGCCTACTTTTGGAGTAAATGGCTCTTGTAAATAATTTGTCTATTTGTGAATTTAAAGTGAGCAGCAAATCCTGCTAATAAAACAGTAAACATGGAGTCAATATCAGCATTGTGAATTATTTTTGGTATTTTTTCCCATAATTTTCCTACCCAAGTGACTAATGTGCATTATCCCATTTCCGCTGAAGAAACACTACCAGGCTGACCAATTAAATTTAATGGCAAAAAGACATTCAAATCCATTAAAGTGTTCAAATCCTCTCGTCATTAGCTGCTCTTAAAAAATCCACCTTGGAGAGGATCTCATAATTTGCTCTGTTAGGCAAAACAATTACTGAAATCAGTCTTCAAAATGACATTTTGTAATAGGGATAAGTACTAAATCAATTTGTTTCCCAGCCTGCCAAAGAAATTTAAAGGAGCAGAAACTTGCAGTATTTCATCATCGAGAGGCTTAATCTTGTAATTTCTCTTGAAATCTCATGGTTTGTTCTGAAACTATGCACCCACATTTATCTCCTGAAACCTGTACTAGTTATTAGAGTGTCCTGATACTCCTTCCACCTATTTTTCCTAAACTTTCCTTGGTGCAACAAAGCCAAACAACTGACAATTTTCCACACCTGGAAATCCACCTCAGGCTGAGTTATTTAAAAAAAAAAAAAACAAAACTCAACTCCCAGCAAGCAATACAGTACCAAGCAAAAATTGGGGGAAAGAATTGCTTTAGAATTCTGGAAATCACTTTGAGAGCTCCAAGAGAACTCTTCTGGTCCAGCCTGCCCAGTGTCCTCAGCCATCACCGCATCCCTGCCCCTGCAAAGGGTAGTAAAGCAGCAGCTGCCACAGCCCCTATTGCAGATTTAGGTTTTGGGGTCTGCAACATTGCTGTATTTTGACATTTTGAGGTCTTCCCTGCAGCAAAGCAGTGTTTCAGCCTGAACCACTGGATAGGGCAGGAGAAAAAGCTGTGCTTTGCCCTCAACTGCATTTGTTGTGAGCATCTCCAGAAAGAGGGGAATTCCCACTGAGGAAGGGTGGTGGTCCCCTGTTCCTTTAGGAACAGAGCAGCCAAGGAGTCACATCGCCCTTAGCCTGTGTCTGCACAAACTCCAAACACCCCAAAACTGGTCACAGGCTTCAGTTTCAGGGACCAATGTCTGCTCCTAAACTGAGCTCCAGCAATCAGGGGCCCAGGGCAGCGAGCCCAAGGGCCTTGCATGGGGACAGAAACCCGGTGGAGCTTTTTTGTCCCCACAGAACTCATTTTGTCTAGGGAGTGACAGGGTATGGCCCCCTCCATTGGCCAGGGCTGGCCTGCCACCCATGACTGCGCTTAAATGGAGACTTTAAAAGACTCTTAAAGTCACTTAAAAACTCCCTTTAAGTGCAGAATTGTGCAGTGGGGACAGGCCCTGACCCGAGTGGCTCCCTCGGGCAGGGGGGAAGCAGGCAGGCAACGGTCCAACCAGACGAGCTGAGGGAGGGGGCCAGACCCCACACTCCCCTATAGCTTAAGTCAGTTGTGCAGGGAGAAAAGAACAGAAAGGCTTTTTCGTCCCCACACAACTCAGGCTAGGGAGCATGGGTGCCAACAGGTGCTCCAGAGATGGGTGCTCCCTCAGCTCCCTGTCAGGTGGGGGCCACCCTGCTGCCTCCTGCTCAGCCCCTCCCTGCAGAAACACCTTCTCACTTACATTGAATGGCAACTTTTAGTGAGGGAACTGAATATGGACTGCACCTACCTGGAGTTCTGCTTGCAAGAGCCATGCTTAAACAGAGAAAGAAAAGCACAAGCTGGGAGGAAGGCAGCATCTGTCACAGAGGAGGAGCAGCCCCTTGCAGCACAAGCTCTTACCCACTGGAAGGCAGTAAAAACTGCAGCAAGACCTCCGTGGCCACCAGCTGCCTATTATTAGCTCCAGTGGCACAGCAGCAATAAGGACTTCACCATGCAGGAACTGTGGGATGTGTCAGGGATGAGAAGCGGGTGGGGGTGAGGCATCCTCCTGAGAGCTGTTAGCAAGGTTTAGATAACCATGCAGTAAATAAACCAGATGCCACTGTGTCTCAGTTGTGGCTTGTTCCAATTTTTATTGCTAAAAGCAAAAATGTGGTGCTATCACACCGGATTCCTGCTCGGCTGTCCTCTTGTGGCACAGCTCCCAAAACCATAGGCTTGCTTCCTTTTACAGCAGCTCCTCCAGGGATAACTGAAGGTAAAATCCAGTCCCTGCTCCTTCATGCTGGCTCTCTGAAAAACAAAAAAACAAGTGTAATTGGAAACTAAAATGGTGACCCCGAATAGCTAAGAGACGATTAAGAAAAGTTATTCTCAGCAAGGGGCACTGAGAAAATAAAGTATGTATTTTAATAAAGCAATAGCAGGAAAAGAAACTCCAACCCTTGTCCCTCTACCAAAGGAGGATTACCTGCAAGACCCCAGGCCAGGATGGGTCACAATAGCCAGGACACAAAATTTCCCTGAGGACTGACTGACTCACTCAGGAGCTCAGACTTAACTGTGCTCCTTCTTTCAGCCTTGCAGCCTTTCCTGTGGCAACAGCACCCTCCAGCTGCTGCCTCTGCAGCACAGCATTACATGCCTACTGCACGGCCCTGAAAACTGCGCCAGCTCAGCCACCTTGGTGACAGGGCCATGCAGATATTCCCAGGATTCCCATGCCTCCAACAAGTAGCAACAGATGCTTCAGCTTTGGGCACTTGAGCACGTAGGCACTTACCCAACACTTCTGGTGTCTGCATTCTCCCTCACTCCGTGTCAGCAGGGCTGTGCTTGGGCTACCCCCTTTGAAACACTCGACATCATCTGTGCTGAAAAAACCCACACCATTGAGCAGAAGAAAGCAGAACTGAGACAAGACAGACACTACTCCCTTAGATTCACCAGAGATCCTGTTCTTTCTTATGCTCTGTTAGGATCCTGTTCTACAGATTCCACCCTAACACATATCACCAGGAAAAGCCCCCAAACCACCAATGAGACAGCGATCACTGCAGCTTCCAAAGTGACCTTCCTAATATGATCCAGAACAAGAGAACGAGGGACAAAACCTGATATAAAACCACCAGAATAATCACAGAATCATAGAATCATAAAGGTTGGAAAAGACCTCTAAGGTCATCGAGTCCAACCGTCAACCCAACACCACCATGCCCACTAAACCATGTCCCTAAGTGCCTCATCTACCCATCTTTTAAATACCTCCAGGGATGGTGACTCAACCACTTCCCTGGGCAGCCTGTTCCAATGTTTAACCACTCTTTCAGTAAAGAAATTTTTCCTAATATCCAATCTAAACCTCCCCTGGCGCAACTTGAGGCCATTTCCTCTTGTCCTATCGCTTGTTACTTGGGAGAAGAGACCGACACCCACCTTCCTACAACCTCCTTTCAGGTAGTTGTAGAGAGCGATGAGGTCTCCCCTGAGCCTCCTTTTCTCCAGGCTAAACAACGCCAGTTCCTTCAGCTGCTCCTCATAAGACTTGTTCTCCAGACCCTTCACCAGCCTCGTTGCCCTTCTCTGGACATGTTCCAGTACCTCGATGTCCTTCTTGTAGTGAGGGGCCCAAAACTGAACACAGTATTCAAGGTGCGGCCTCACCAGCACTGAGTACAGGGGCACGATCACTTC